ATAAGCTTGTTTTACCCTAAGCCTACTATGATGCCATGGAGGGTAAGTTAGAGTGTGACCTCATCCTTAAGAGAAGTAAGAAAGATGGTAAGCATGTTATTTTCTTCTCAGAACAGGAGGTGGCAACACTGACAGAGAGCTATAAATTCACTCTTATTGGAAAATTCCTAATGGCTCGCCCAAAGATGGACTCAATAAGGAAAGCCTTTGCAGATTTGAAGTTGGTTGGAAATTGGAAGATTGGTCTTTTTGATGGTAGACATGTCATGATACACCTTACCAAGGAAGAAGATTATGCCAAGGTTTTCTCAAAAAAGTTTATACAAATAGAAGACACTTCCATGAAGCTGCTAAAATAGACCCCTGCTTTTGACCCTAAAAAAGAATTGTGTATTTTTCTAATTTGGTTTAAATTACCCAACCTGAAACTACACTTCTTTAACCACAGAGTTCTGATCTCCATTAGGGCTCTACTTGGCAGACCTATGAAACTAGACATCTCCACATTCAACCTATCTAGACCATCTGTTGCAAGGATACTTATAGAAATGGATATCACCTCTCCACCTATTGATGAAGTGTGGTTGGGGACTGCACATGATGGCTAATGGCAGCTAATTATTATGGAACAAAATCCATATTACTGTACCCACTGTTGCATGTTTGGGCACACTATGGAGCACTGCTATAGACTACATCCCAACCTCAAACCTATAAGTGGGGGGAGAGTAAGTTGGAGGAAAATGTGGGGACAAACAAAGAAGGAAGAAATGGGGGACAAGATTTACAGGACTTAGTACAGATTGGGTTACCATAAACTGAAGCCAAGGAGAATGCAATGGAGGATGTTGTAGAGCAGGCACAGAAACTAGTTGATACTGTTGAGGAAGACACTGAAATTTTGGATGTAACCCCTATAGGGGGGGGGAAGGCGCCCCCCCCCCCCCCTCCTAGTTCAAAAGGCAGATGGCTCTTCACCTGTTAATGAGAATTTGGGTCAAGAAACCACAGGAGTCCCACCTCCTAACATTGTTTAAGAGACGTTGTAAACAATGGAGGTTGATTGGCAAGTTCGAAAAAGTAAGAAGAAGAAGAAACTTCACTGGACAACATTTGAGGATACCCATAGTTTGAAAGTAGTCAACTCTTACTCTAATAGAAGGAAATCCCCTCTCAGGCTAACTAGGGGGAGATCTAAATCCCTTCAACATGCTTAACCTCCTCTGCTGGAATATAAGGGGGATTGTCCACCCCCTTTCTCTAAAAAGGCTAAAATATTTTAATAAAAAGTATAAACTTTGGTGCTTGGCAATATTGGAACCTTTGGTTCATCACAATCCTCTCAAATTTCTCAAGTCCTTCCCCGGATTTGCTTTATTTACTAATCTGAACAATAAGATTTGGATTTTCTGTAGAGCTGAGTTGGATTGTGTCATCCAGCTGAACCACCCTCAATTCCTTCACTTTTCTTTTAATATGGCTGGCATGGAAGGAAATGCAACCATTGTATATGTTGGGTGTACCAATCTTGCTGGAAAGGAACTAAAGGCAGTGGAGAATGCTACAATCCTTGGACAGGTAGATGAGACCTCCCTCCTGGAAGCAAATGAAAAGTTACTAACTGTTGTGGCCTGACAGAAGCAATTCCTCAAGCAGAAGGCTTCCAGAATCAAATTTATTGATGGTGATAGGAATACAAAGTTCTGTCATGCTTGCATCAAATACCAATTAAAATGTAATACTATCCACTCTATTAAGGATAATCAAGGTAACTGGTTAAAAGATACAGCTGAAATTGCAGAATGTGTAGTAGCCTACTGTCAGCAACTCATGCAATGCTCAACTAATCCTAGAGTGCAGATTGACCAAAATTTATTTGCTTCTAACCATGGATCCACTGCTTATATCAATCTTGCTGAAGTTCCTGGAGAAGAGGAAATTAAACATGTCCTTTTATCTATTGACAGTTCTAAATCTGCAGGCCCTGATGGATTCACAGTTGACTTCTATAAAAAGGTCTGGAAAATCATAAAGTAGGATGTAATCATAGCTATTCAGTGCTTTTTACATGGGTATGAATTACCTAATGCTGCCACTATTGTTTTTGTCCCTAAATCGACCCTCAAGGAACAATGGAAACACTTCAGAACAATCAGCCTAACTAATGTTGTAAGTAAAATTATAAGCAAAATTTTGGTGTGGAGACTCCAGCCTCAATTGCAGCATATCATAAGCTCAAAGAAAACATCTTTTGTGAAGGAGAGGAGCATTGGAGACAGTGTATTGTTAACACAAGAACTGCTTCAGGATTTAGAGAAACCTTGTAGGGGAGGGAACGTGATCTATAAAATAGACTTAAAGAAGGCTTATGACATGATTCATTGTGATTTTGTGCTAGGGATACTGATGGCAAGGGGATTCTCTAGTGACTCATGCAAAATCATCAAATGATGGTTTGAAGGGAATGTGAATTATGTATTCATTGATAACAGTGCACATGGTTTCTTTAAAGCATTTAGGGGTCTTAAACAAGGTGACACCCTATCCCCAACCATATTTATACTTGCTTTGGACTACCTATCTAGAATGATTGACAGACCCAACCACAGAAAGAGTTACAACAAGTATCACCATAAATCAGCATTGGATATTAGTCACTTGGTGTATGCTGGTAGCATTATAATTTTCCCTAGAGCCAACAAGGCTGCTGTCAAGATGCCACATGCTTGCTTGTAGAAGTTCCAAACCCATCAGGGCTATTATTTAATAAAGATAAATGCCAAGTTCACTTCAGCAAACAAGTTCTCTCCCCCGCAACAAACAATGAATCCTTGATCTAACAGGTTTCACTTCTATTTCAACTCCTTTCAAATATCTGGGGGTACAATTAATTAAGGGAATGGCCAAACTAAATCATTTTGATCGGGTAGTAGAAAAAAACTAACTCCTAATTACATTGTTGTACCAATTCCTTCCTATCTAATGGTGGCAGAATAACACTATTTAAAAGCATCCTCACTACCTTCCTTATGAATATACTACAAATGCAACAATGAAGAAAAGCACTCAGCTTTTATTGGAAAGTACATTTAACAGATTCCTCTGGCCGGGTAGAGAAAACAGATGATTTGGGCCAGTTGGAAGAAAGTGGCCAGACATTTTTTAGCTGGAGGTTTGGGTTTTAAGGGGCTTCAGCAGATCCAGTAAATTAGTGTGTGTAGGCTGAGATTAAGACAACAAGACACGCTTTGGCACAGTTAATGTTTGTTAAATATTGCAGATTTGCTCATCTCAATTTTATTTCAAGGAGGTTGGGGGATTCTAAAACATGGAGTAATATGCTTAAGGGCTTAAGGTGAGAGAAACTACTGAAAAGTTGTACTTATGGGAGTTGGGACAAGGAAACCTTCAGTTTTGGCTAGACAGATGGTGCCCAGAAGAATTCCTGGACCCCATGCCTGAGATCTCTGATAGTAACCTCATGGTGAAAGATTGTTGGGAGGAGAACTCCAGATCAGAAGCAATACTGAAGAACATCCTTACTGAAACTTCAGTGGCACAGGTTACCATGATACAATTTGTCAGAAACAAAAAAGATAAGAGGGCTTTAACTTCATGCTTTAATCAAAGCCTGACCAAAGCCATATATGACACGTTGTACCACAGGGAAAAGGTGTCATGGAGTGAGTGCTTGTGGAACAAGTTCTTAACCCCTTCCATGTAATTTTTCTCTTGGAGAGTGCTTAACAATTTACTACCAATAGATGATATCCTTAAACTCAAGGGACTAAGAGGTCCCTCCTTGTGTCATCTGTGCAGGAATGATATGGAATATGTTGGTCACCTGTTCTTCTCTTGTAACTTCTCTCAGTATGTATGACAGGCCCTGCAAACACATTTACACATCAATACAATGAATTTGGAGTGGAAAATCTTTCTAGATTGCTGCAGTGGATGGCAGGAACTGAAATTGGGTCCCATACTTTCATCACTGCTTGGTTTCTATGGGATGCAAGAAATCAGGTTAAGCATGAAGATCAGCTTGTGTTACTGGAAAGGTGGTATCTAACTACTTGGCATTCATTAGAAAACTTATTCAATGGAAATGCTTCCCCAACTTTCTGAATATTTGTAGAATTGTTGGCTAGAAAAGTTTCAATGTCCTTAAGGTTGTGTGGAGTAAATCCGTGTACCCTTTCATCAAAATAAATATAGATGGGAGCTTCTCTCCTAAGAGGGCTGGTATAGGAGGAGTATTCAGAGACCATCAAAGAATTTGCTTGCTTTACTTTCAATCACCAATTATGGCTGAGGATGCAATGGATGGGCTATAAAGCTGGTCAGACTAAACAGTGGCTTTGTTCTTGGCTATAAAGCTGGTCAAACTAAACAATTGGAATCTCTTACAAGTTGAAGTAGATTCTTCTCAGCTATTGGACTACATGATAGGCATAAACACCTCCCCTTAGCATATACAACAATGGATTATTCAGATGAAGCAATTACCAAGGGAGATGAGGGTTTATTTCTCATTCATTTACAGGGAAGGGAATGGAACAACAAATCACTTAGCCATTAGTGGAGCTGAATCTCAAATTGTTAGTGTTTCTACCTGACCAACTCCTTCATTTTCTGCTTCAGGGGGACAACTTGAATGTCCCACACCTTAGAATTGTAATCTCTTTTTGATCTTAATAGAGATTTCCCTTTTGAATATATATATGATGCATATTTTAAGAAGGGTTTTGTGTTTTAAGGATATATATATATATATATATATATTTATTTATAGATATATCTTTAAAACACAAAACCCTTCTTAAAATATGCATCATATAAGATTAAATTGACACAATTCACACTATATTTCATTGAACAGTCCTCACCCAAAGAGATACAAAAAACTAGGTAAAGCAGAATGTAGAGTAGAACATAGAACGAAAGCAGGACAAAGTTTTAAACAATAGTACAATGACCAAAAACATTCATTAATTGTCCACCAAACAGGAGAGATACAACCTTCAAATATTCAAGCAGCAGTCAAAGTGTTGCCCACATCAATCACAAATCGATATCTCACATCAGCCTTGGCCAGCCTCTCCATCGCGTCATTCACATAATCAGCTTTGATTAGCTCAATATCTGCAGTTATGTTGTGTTTTGCAGCAAAGTCTATCATCTCCTGCGTCTGTTTCATTCCACCAATGGAACTACCAGCCAATATCTTCCCTCTCAGTATTAGAGGGAAGGCGGGAAATTCCAGTGGAGCATTTGGTACACCAACCATGCTGACACAGTATTTATGATACCATCCATGGTACCCATTGCATTCTGCATCGGCTGAGCATCGCTGCTAACTATAAAATCATCAGCTCCCAAGGTTTTGATGGCCTCCTCTTTCTTCTTCGAAGGCGTGCTTATAACAGTGACCTTCATTCCAAAAGCCTTGCCAAACTTGACAGCAACATGGCTGAGTCCTCCGAGGCCTACCACACCAAGTTGCTTTCCAGGCTCATCGAGGCTAAAGATCTTCATGGGGCAGTAAACCGTTATCCCGGCACACAACAGTGGTGCAGCCTTGTCCATTGCCAACTTTTTGGGGAACTTCACCACAAAATGCTCCTTAGCAACAATCATATCGGAATAAACCCCATAAGTGATCATCCCATCACCGTCGATTGAACTATATGTTAATATCATCTTCGAACAGTAATTCTCAAGATTGTTATCACAAGCTTCGCAAGAATGACAGGAACCAACCATGCAACCGACGCCAGCCCTGTCTCCAACTTTAAACTTTTGAACCTTGGGACCAATTTCTGTAACGATTCCAACGATTTCATGCCCTGGAACTACTGGGTAGATAGTAATTTTACACTCGTTCTTGATGATGTGGAGATCTGAGTGACAAATGCCACAATACAATATCTTTATGGTAACATCATCATCGCCATTGTTCCTTCTGGAGAAAGTGAAGGGGGAGAGCACGCCGGATGAATCCTTTGCCGCCAAACCGAAAGCCTTCCGGGGTTGCACCTCCTCCGGCGACACCTTCCTACTGTTTTCAACCCCCGCCATACCTTTTTCCTCCACTGCTGTCGATACCCAGTTGAAGACATATATATGTATGTATATATGCATTTAGTGGTAGTAGAATTTTCATTTTTAACACTTAAACTTTTAAATTTAACATACATACGATTTTGTTCATGCATGAAATGTTGTATTTAACATTTTAAAAGTTAAAATCATGATACTTTTTATGTGATATGAAACATTTGAGTAGAATAAATGCAAAAAGCAATTTTAGGTGTTGGATACTTAAATGCATAGGAATTGGGTGGCATGTATGTGAATGCCCTTAAAAAAAAATGTTTCTTTTTCATGTCAATTGACAAATACCAGTAATTCTGCACATACAAAGGGACCAGGATACCTGCAAAAATATCACTATGTTCCAACTTTTTTATGCCCGCAACAAGATTCAATCTACAATAAATGACCAGATTTTTATTTTTATTGGCATGTAAGTCTTTCTCTTCCCCCCCCCCCCCTCTCTCTCTCTCTTCAAGCTAGATAGAGAGAGAAGAAATTGGAACGTTTAATTGATTTGAAGCTAAAGAAAAGTGAAAATAAATGAATGAATTTTGAGAGTCATGTGAAGTTTGCTCAACATGAAAACGGCCCAATGTGCTTTGATTGCTTGGAAATGACAAGAAATAAAAATAAATGAAGCATAAGAGATTCTTTTCATATGGCTGTTGAGCTGTGATTTTTTCGCTGATGAGCTATTTTCTCATTAAGTCAGTTTAGATTACATTTCATGAGACTGAAGAACATGACATAATTGCATCAATCATTTTAAATCATATTTTCATGTTAACGGCCTATAGGCAACTAATCATCACTAGAATTTAGCTCATGATAATTCCATCCTACAAGGAGTGTCTAAAGATATGACCTGACCAGTTGAAAAAGCGAGGAACAAGTATAATTTAGGTCGATAAGCTTTTAATCAAGCAAGTCTCTTCAGAGGTCCCAATAAACTAATCTTAAGGGTTGTAAGCTTAAAAAAACTAAGTTTAATTAAATTTGCACCTAATCATAAGCATTTCGAAAGTGTATCATTTTTATTATCAGTGGTCAAAATCATATCCCCTAAAACACTTAAAAATGTGGATGGGGGACATATAGCTTATACATCAACATAGATACTTAAAATTCTGCTAAACCATAAAAGAAATCATAAGGTACTCTAGAGCCAAATACTGCACGAACCAACAAAATAATTGGTCTAATATCTTTTGTAGCGATTTTAAGAAAATCAAGTTGATGGAGAGCTTATCGTCTTATTATTATACAAAATCTCTTGCAAACATAGATAGATAATTTATGATCAACCCATAAAAGATTGAGAACTTTTTCATGAAAAAGTCAACAAGAGAAAACCCTTGTTTGACATAAGTGAAATAATCTCAACACTACGAGACATATTATAAATGATGCACTTTCTTTGATCTATAATTTAATGTAGTATGCATAAACTTTGGATGATAGTTTGCATGATAAAAAGTAGTAGATTTAACGTGTCAAAATTATCGGTGATGATCAATGCCAATATTAATAATGATAGTATTTTTCAATATTTGTGGCAATGATAGGCCTTGGTCCTAGTACTAATATTGAACATCAAACTTGGTATCAATGGTAAGCTTCAAAATTGTTAGTCGTGGCAGGTACACACCTTAGTGGTGGTGATTGAGATCAATGATAGTGATGATGATGGGTATCAATATTGTTTTAAAGTTTGGGCAATACACTTGGTGGTAATATTAACTATCCAAGAAGATAGTGATGTTGTAAACTTTTGTCAATAAATACATTAGTTAAAATTGATGACATTTAACGATGTTTAATGACAATTGTGTCGATAATAAAGTATCTGGTCTTGATATCAACGATATTGACAGCACTGGTGTAAATATCAAACATTGACGATAGTGGTAATACAGATTATAGTGGGCATTGGTGGTATTTAATGGTGAACACAGGTGTTGACTGGTATGATATCCCCTTTAGAATCATTCTTAGTAACCATGTAAAAATTTAAGAATATTTAACTTCTCAATTGGTATGCCAAAATTTTCAACTATACATTCATAGCTTGACTTAGATCAATGCATGCTTAATAATGTGAGGTTTATCTTATCTAGATGATTGCTAAGAAAATTAAATTTTACAACCTAGTACACAACTCAAATGTATTAATAAATCATGCGCTATTCTTATTGTACACCAAGAATAACTCAAGCCAAACAAGTCCTAAATTGAATAAGGAACATTGTCATTAAAGTGAGGTACTATTTCTGAAATAAAAAAAATGTCAATTATTAAAAAGTATAAAAACTTATAAAAATTACTTTAAAAGTAATATAGTACTCAAATATTTTTTTTTCTTGGATATGCTAAACTCCACTTTATTTGAAAGGTTTGTCAAAATCTTATGAGTATAATATATATATATTTTATTGAGAGAATTTTTATTAATTTATCTAAAGAAAATAAAATTTTGGCATCTCTTAAAATTAATTCTACATTCTTTTTAAGAAGTAGTATAATCAAATTAATATAAAAATATGGATTAATCAACTTCATTTTAACTATTATGTCATGATCTTTGAAATGGTGCTCTTAATCAATCAATTAGGGCTTTTTATCCCATCAAAACTTCTCTTAGCCAACCACACGGTCCATGGTCCCACGAAGGATATCAAGTTGTTAACTTTAAAAGCAATTCATAAAATCTTATGTGGGATTGGATTTGATGGATTCTAGTAAAAGGAATTGAGATGTCTATATCAAAATATTGTTAGTATATTTATAGAATTTCAAGTAAAAAATAAATGAAGAAGAGATAATAATCACATCAAATTTCTCAAACATAAACATACAAATTTTTTATGCTTCCATGAAATTCACCTATGTCTGCAGTTGCACAAATTTAAATATTCGCTAAACACAAGAAAAATTAAAAATCAAAAGATATTACAGTCTATATTAATAAATATATTTTTTTGTATACATTAATAAATTTGGGGGACACAATAAAAAATTCTAAAAATGAGGATTGTACATGAAAAATAAGATTAGAATTTATTTTCTTCCTTTTCTTTTCTACCAAAAACTTCTCATTCATTCCCTCTCCCTCTTCTTCCACTCTTTTCTTTTTTTTCTTATGATATAATTAATGAGAAATTATCATTAGAACATGTATAATCACAATTTAATACTTTTCTAGTAACCTCCATCTAAGACTTTATGGTAGCCTTCTTTTAAGATATTATAACACCTCCATGAGCCACTGTTGACCTCACTTTTGGTTGAGGTCTAGAAACTTCTTAAGTAGCCTAGGTCTAGCCATAGGACTTTCCTATTGACTAGTCTTAGAAAACTAGAAAAAGTATCCTCACCATTAGAAACTCAAAACTCTTCTCTTTACTCAACTTGAAATTCCACATATTGATCTTAACTTTTAGCACTTAGTAGGTAAGATCATTATGAGGGAACTCAAGGAAAGTTCCTATAGGACTACTTGGCCTTAGGATTCACCCTGAGTGTTGGTTTGGAGTTAAGGTATACCATACCCCCACAATACTCTGACTAAGATCAATACATGAGAGCCCAAAATGGGGATTTCATTGATCCATGGTTCATTTAGAATGGATATCTATCCAATTCTACTTGAAATGTTCATCTTGGGTCTTTTGCCCCAGACACCTCCAAATTACTACTCCATGGTCCAATTTAGTCAATTTGATCATCTTTGAACAAAACCCCAAATTAGCCCTAATATTGGCTAATACCCCAAATCTCAACAATTGAATGCCTTAAACCTCAAATTGGCATCCAATTTTTGTTTAAAATCCTTTATAAGGTCATTTGTGACCAAACACATCAATCAATTTGAGCTTAGCCCAAAGCTAGCCTAGGTTTGACCCAAATTATCTCCATATGCCTAATTTGGGTCAAAATCCAAATTTCATCAAAATCCACTAAATTCATTACCAA